TTGCCGCGAGCTTGGTCATCTGAATGCAGTCAAAGCTCTTAAAGGCGGACAGATTCCGTCCGGTTCTGGTAAGATATGGTTAAAAGGGGTTAACTGCACTGGAGAGGAGAAAAATCTTGCAAGTTGCTCTCTACAGAACTGGGGAATTCATAACTGCAACCATTCTACTGACGCCGGAGTAGAATGTACTTCGACAGGTAAAATTATATTAACTTAAAAATATTCAAAATTTTTCCTTATACTTGTATTAGCACCATAAAAGGATATTGATTTGTGAAACTGTAAAATAAGTAAACATGCACATAAGAATACATTGATCGGAAGTAGAGGTTTAAGTAATTTTACTTCTTTGCAAGTGTTGTTAAACAAAGGAAAAACGTTTATTGTGATTTGCTAATGTTAAGCCACAGTGCGAAAAAGAAGGAAAATGTAAATTCTTTTTCAAAAAGTATTGCGGCACATACTATCTCCTACACAAAAGATATGTCAGAAAGTGGTTTAACTTGCGCTCGTTCTGACTTCCATTTTACATTATTCATATCGACTGACAACTTCTAGCAATAACAAATAAGAGGAAACTAAGACTAAAAAAAGAAAGGTAGACTTATGCAAGTTGATTAAATGACTAACCCAATAACATTACTATGGCCTTAGCAAATCTACGCTGCTTACCAAACTAAGTGTTTCACACAGAATTATACGCATCTTTGGATAAACGTCCCAACCCTAGTTGCCCGATGTCAATAATCAATAATTTTTGTTGTTTATCCGCGGGGTGGAATAACACTTGCACAGATATAATGGGCATTCTCATTAGGTAGACTACGGGGAACCCCATCCTCGGACCCCATCCGCAGTACGCGAAAAACCTGGAACGAGGATGGGGTTCCCATCAATGCACCCTTAAGTACCGCAATTATTTCATCTATTTCATTTTCCTCACGCGAAAGTATGTTCACGCGATCCAATTCACTTCTGATGTATGTGGTCTGTTGTTGTCATTGTTAAAGTATTGGCTGCATTGACTTTAGTTGATTTGCTGCCCATATAAATTGGACGTCAACAGACTATGAAACATCAAACAGAAGTTAAATGGATCAGACAAAGTTTGATCGTTTGGACAGGACTTTAATCATACGCTTTCGTTTCAGTTGGACCTTACACTACGTATATAATAAAATCAGAACAGTCTGGTTATGTGCATCGTTATGGCATTTTTCGCCATCTTGATCTTCTCCAATTTTTGAAGACTCGTGTTGGTGCTGCTCATTTTCGCTTTACGAGTAAAAGTGTCCTCCAGGAAATGAATACTGGAAAATGCGTGAAAATTGATTCTAACCTTGTACTTATACTCTCCAATGACTGTGATGGTCCAGCTGCTGCTAAATGGACATACAACCCTGTTGCCAAACATTTGAAGCTTCTTCCGACCACCAGTGGGGATAGCAAATGCTTTAGTCCATGGAAACACCCCGTTGAACCGAAAGATATCACAGTTGTCCCTGGCTTGTCCAACTGTCGTGATTGGAATAGAATCGTGTTGGAGGCGGGTGAGTGTTGTGACATAAATCTCTACATTGTCATATTATGTACAAAGTGTATAAAAAAAAGACAACCACTCAATATCCATACTGTTATTAAGAACAATAGTACCACTAATTGTATACTTCTAATTGTGCAGCTCAAAAAGCGAATATTTTTTAATATTAAGGGGCGCCTTTTTCGATGCCCTGTAGGTCTATATTATTTCAACGTTATATAGGGATATTTAGATACAGCGCCAGAAAATTCAGACAAAATTAACTTTCTACTTCCGCGGAAATTAGCATATGGTGTTAAACTTGTATAGCCTCGTGATCATGAGTATACTGTAGAATACAAAGTACTAAAACGCTAAAATAGTTTTGAGTTTGATTTTGTTTACAACTTCTAACTCTTTTCCATTGATTACAATTGAATCGAAAGGTCTCGGCATAGAGTTAAACGAGATTCGTAGTTCCTTACATTTTCCGGATAAAGTTGCATTCTATTTGCATTGGACCACGTAACCACATTATCTGTATTATTTTGGGCGTTACTGATGGAATCCTTCGTAACAATTTCTGATTACTGTCGAATCATCGATGTATTTCCAAAGATCTGCTTGGGTTGCTGTTAGGTCGTTTATGAGTAAAATGAATAACCAAGGACCTAATTTAGTTCCTTGGGGCACGCCAGATGGAGCTGGGCCTCATTCTAAATAACAGTTATCTGCTAACTTTACTCGTTGATATCTGTTAGTCAGAAAGTCTGATATCCAATTGATGACGCTATATGTAATTCTAACTCTGATAGTTTCTGGATCAAAATTTAAATGATCAATAAGATCAAATTCTTTTCGGTAATCGAAGAGGATTGTTCTTACAATGGTGCCATTACCGTCAGTGGTGGTGGACCAGCGATGGATCATGCTGATTAACGCAATAGTAGTAGAACTTCTAAGAACCGCACCAAATTGTTTTGGTTCGATGACTTTCAAGATTGCTGGTTTCACATAATCAACGACACTAAATTCCTCAGCGGCTTTAGAGATACTAGCGGTAAGTGAAATAGGTCTTAAATCTTTCTTTGGATCTCTTACAATTTTTGTCTTAGGCAAAGGTGTAATATTGGCCATTTTCCAAGTGGTAGGTACACGTTGCTCTCGGTATGAGGTGTTGAGGATAATTGAGATTGGGAGGGCTAGGATATATGAATAGTCTTTAATACCTCATTTGGTAACTTATTGGGTCCACATGCTCTATTCGTTGGGAGTTTCGACAAAGCTTTTTGCACTCTATTTCTGATACGTTTAGAAAGGTTGCTTTGTTAATTTCATTGCTTGATCTCTTGGTGTAAGGTTAGAAAACGTTTCAACATTGGCTAAACTTATCGGTTTCCGTCTGGATGCAAGGTTAGAGATACGCTTAATTTTAGACCAATTTTTATCTACGTAAATGCATACGCCCCCATGGTCATCTGTCTTTCTGTCTCTACGAAAAACAGTGTATCCTGGAATACTAATGACACTGTCATCAATTGATTCCTTCAACCAAGTCTCAATGATAAATGCGAAGTCAATCTGGGTGGTACGGTATAAACTCGGATACTTCATCTATTTTGGGTGCTAAGGATCTCACGTTTGATACACATATTTTTGGTACTCTAAGTTTATAATCACATTGATTATTCGACGGTAAACTAAGCGGATGAATTAAGGAATCCCGATTGTTTTGTCTTAGTGTGTTGGAGGCGCTGTTGGAAACATCATCAACGGAGGAATGGTGTCGGTTGTGGAGGTACTCTGAAAAAGGGGTGATGTGTTGATGGTGAGGGATATGGGGGTACTCGGAACGAAGGATGATGCGTTAAGTTTGCCCACAATAATCTGAAACATGTTCTCTAAACTAAATTCTTAATTTACCGAAATCATAACAACTTGTTCCCTTTGGGAGATAAAAGCTTAATGCATTCTATACGCGCGAGAGGCAATAAAACTGTAGTTAATTGTATCAGTTTTTACTCAACTTGTATACAATAATTCCCTTCTTATTTATAAGGAATATCAAAAAGCATCAGGATACAAGGACCATCCAGCTCAAAAGGCATCGGACGTGTTGAGGTATTCTACAATGGAATCTGGGGGACAATCTGTGATAATGGTTGGGATATAAATGACGCACGTGTTGTTTGCCGCGAGCTTGGTCATCTGAATGCAGTCAAAGCTCTTAAAGGCGGACAGATTCCGTCCGGTTCTGGTAAGATATGGTTAGAAGGGGTTAACTGCACTGGAGAGGAGAAAAATCTTGCAAGTTGCTCTCTACAGAACTGGGGAATTCATAACTGCAACCATTCTACTGACGCCGGAGTAGAATGTACTTCGACAGGTAAAATTATATTAACTTAAAAAATTCAAAATTTCCTTATACTTGTATTAGCACCATAAAAGGATATTGATTTGTGAAACTGTAAAATAAGTAAACATGCACATAAGAATACATTGATCGGAAGTAGAGGTTTAAGTAATTACTTCTTTGCAAGTGTTGTTAAACAAAGGAAAAACGTTTATTGTGATTGCTAATGTTAAGCCACAGTGCGAAAAAGAAGGAAAATGTAAATTCTTTCAAAAAGTATTGCGGCACATACTATCTCCTACACAAAAGATATGTCAGAAAGTGGTTTAACTTGCGCTCGTACTGACTTCATTTTACATTATTCATATCGACTGACAACTTCTAGCAATAACAAATAAGAGGAAACTAAGACTAAAAAAAAGAAAGGTAGACTTATGCAAGTTGATTAAATGACTAACCCAATAACATTACTATGGCCTTAGCAAATCTACGCTGCTTACCAAACTAAGTGTTTCACACAGAATTATACGCATCTTTGGATAAACGTCCCAGCCCTAGTTGCCCGATGTCAATAATTAATAATTTTTGTTGTTTATCCGCGGGGTGGAATAACACTTGCACAGATATAATGGGCATTCTCATTAGGAGACTACGGGGAACCCCATCCTCGGACCCCATCCGCAGTACGCGAAAAACCTGGAACGAGGATGGGGTTCCCATCAATGCACCCTTAAGTACGCAATTATTTCATCTATTTCATTTTCCTCACGCGAAAGTATGTTCACGCGATCCAATTCACTTCTGATGTATGTGGTCTGTTGTTGTCATTGTTAAAGTATTGGCTGCATTGACTTTAGTTGATTTGCTGCCCATATAAATTGGACGTCAACAGACTATGAAACATCAAACAGAAGTTAAATGGATCAGACAAAGTTGATCGTTTGGACAGGACTTTAATCATACGCTTTCGTTTCAGTTGGACCTTACACTACGTATATAATAAAATCAGAACAGTCTGGTTATGTGCATCGTTATGGCATTTTTCGCCATCTTGATCTTCTCCAATTTTTGAAGACTCGTGTTGGTGCTGCTTATTTTCGCTTTACGAGTAAAAGTGTCCTCCAGGAAATGAATACTGGAAAATGCGTGAAAATTGATTCTAACCTTGTACTTATACTCTCCAATGACTGTGATGGTCCAGCTGCTGCTAAATGGACACACAACCCTGTTGCCAAACATTTGAAGCTTCTTCCGACCACGAGTGGGGATAGCAAATGCTTTAGTCCATGGAAACACCCCGTTGAACCGAAAGATATCACAGTTGTCCCTGGCTTGTCCAATTGTCGTGATTGGAATAGAATTGTGTTGGAGGCGGGTGAGTGTTGTGACATAAATCTCTACATTGTCATATATGTACAGAGTGTATAAAAAAAAGACAACCACTCAATATCCATACTGTTATTAAGAACAATGGTACCACTAATTGTATACTTCTAATTGTGTAGCTCAAAAAGTGAATATTTTTTAATATTATAAGTGTCGCCTTTTTTGATGCCCTGTAGGTCTATATTATTTCAACGTTATATAGAGATATTTAGATACAGCGCCAGAAAATTCAGACAAAATTAACTTTCTACTTCCGCGGAAATTAGCATATGGTGTTAAACTATAGCCTCATGATCATGAGTATACTGTAGAATACAAAGTTCTAAAACGCTAAAATAGAACTATTAGTAGGTTGGCTATACTTTGCCTAGATTGCTAGTTGCAATACAGATATAATTACAAATATTTCGAGATAGTTTTTTAATTTTAATTTTTATCAGTATTCGTCCTGCTTTTCTAAGCCAAGGTTTTATAAACCCATTATTACGTTGAATACCATACAAAACATTTTCAGTATGAAACAAAATATGTAGAGTTGACATGAACCATACATAACAGTTTTTACAAAAACATACATAAAGTTTCATCGATGTTGTATTTTGTTGTTGCAGATATACACGAGTGTAGAAAATTTCAGTTTCAATTGTCAAAAATTTCAATTCAATTATTTAGAAGGCAAATATAACTGCATCATTCCGCCGATTAAACATTTTCCTAACTCATGATTTAGGACCAAGTAAACCTAGAAATGTTACGCTGACTGTTAATGGGGGCAAAATAATCGTTAAATGGCTGCCACCTGAAGTCTCATATAGTAGTGTGGATTACTACTTCGTGTTCTGGAGAAGAGAAAATAGAAATGGTAATTTTCACAAGACAAATGTTTCAGCCAGTCCTTTTATTCATAATTTTGGAAGTAAGTGACTACTCTGCATATCTCCTTACACGCGCTATAAACCATTTTGTTTGCTTTCTTTCTTTCTTTCTTTTAATTTAAATAAACTTCAATTAAATCTTGAATTTCATTGATGAACATTAAATGTTTAAGTTGATTGAAAACGTTCAAGGACGTGTAACACGTATGTTAATGCCAGAATTGGAATATAAGGAACGACCATTGTTACATCGAAGAGAGATAAACTTCTTAACAGCATTCTATAAAATGAAAACTGGTCTATATAGCTGTTCTGTTGATTTTTTTGTTGAGTCTTCCTCAGAGGCTCAGACACAAGATTAAGATTAACTGCCCGAGGGAAATTGAAAATTCCTAAATGTACATGTAGAACCGCACATTTTAATGCGATATTTTTTAATTGAAAAGTAGTATATCTAGGGACAAATCGACCAGAAAATATCTGAACTTTCAGTGGTAGCGTTGCAAAGTTTATACATTATTACAAAGAATAATAAGGGAATTTTGTATTTGTACCAATCAGCAACTTTGTTCAAATTTTCAGCAACTCAATCAGAATGCATAAATTTTGATAAAAAGTGCAATATATATCATTTTACATGAAGTATTAAAAATTTAGGCGTTCTGATGGGCTTTGACTGAAAAATTTAAACAAAATTGGCGATTAGTTTAAAACGAAACTCCTCATTGTTATTGTAAGGAGCAAAAAAAAAATTTCTTATCATCCCAAACTCGTTTTTCTTGGGATGTATAGAGGGCCGTAGCTAGACCGCTTAATTGGGGGGTTGTATATTCATATACTCATGTTTATATACCGTAGGAACAATAGCGTGCAAAAGAAATCAGTGGGGCATAAGACGAATATATGAATATACACCCCCCCAAGCTTCTAGCTACGGCCCTGGATGTATAACTTGTTTGATCCTTTAAATCGTATTTTGCTTTTTGGCATAACGGCTTTAGTATGGTTCTTATTGTTCCTTTCCGTTTTTCCTTCGATATATTACTTTATATTTTACTTTATTTACTTTATTTATGTTCATAATTATCTTTATATGCAGTAAAATTTGATTAAATTAAAAAAAAGGTAGAAATAGAAATTAGGGAAACTTCGACATGTCCTTTTATATTCGCATTTTCTGCACAATTTTTATCGTTTAGATGAATTTGGGCAATACACCATAAAAGTCCAGGCTGTTGATAACGATGGTGTGGGGGAAGCCGCCTATGTAAAAAACATAACGATAAATCGTAAAACGAGGATACAAGCTACGAATAAGACCGTGTATTTTACCGACAATATGACGACACTCAAGAATCCAACTGTTGAGTCTAACTTGAAAAAAAATAAGGAATCAAGGCCCGACAAGATCGCTATTGCCGCTGGAGTGATAAGCGCGACTTTATTCCTCATCCTTGCTGTAACTATCTGTTTTTTCCTGTTGAAGATAATACGGAGAAGACGACGAAGAAAATCCATCAAGGTAAATTATATTACACTCAATTAATCAAACTATGACCAATAATGCCAGTATTGTAGTCGGACTGGCATTTTGTCTCGTTAAGGCAGCGTTTGTCAGTATAATAATAGAATATGGTTTTATCATGTGTGTAAATTTTTTGGGGGACCGAAACCCTAGCTTGCGAGGGTACAGTAAGTGTTTTAAAGGTAGTATACGTGTTTATTATGTTGATTTCGTATTTTGCTTCCCGGTATTAGGATGCAGTTTACAGGCATAAACCAACTTTTAAAGGCTATAACACACATTCGCCGTTTAAGGTGGCTCGATACAGTATATTTAGTTAAGCTCTTGCGCGTATAAACAAATAGCCTCGCGATATTTGTCTAGTTCCATTTTCGAACGCACTGCCAAAACCAGTAAACATAAATGCTTCTATCAGAATCAGAACAATTAGAACAGCATGCGCGACGCGTGTTTGTTTCACGTGATGTTTGTTTCGGCCCGCGCGTGTAATTGCACACGTAATTTAAAAATTCCATTTTTGATGAACAAAGCGCGCTATATCTCGTTATTTTGTGCGGTTTTGAATTTACAATACAACTGTTTATTATATACACAAGCGCAAGGTGTGAGTTATGTGCAAGCTGATTAGCTTTCTACTAGTCTGATATAAAAGTGCCTATGTCACTTGTGGGATCTTTACGGATTTGAATAGGGCTTGAAAAATTTGTTTATAAGTTCTACAACCTTTTTTGATATAATTAAACAGTTTTGAAAATACGTCGGTTGGGCAGACTGGGACTCAGGAATGATTTGCAAAGACGCCGTCTTCGATAATGTAAACATGAAGAGTTTTACTAGCGATATAGTTTGCGCTTTTCAAGAAAAAAATGCGGGAACGGTGCGTTGTGTATGGCTTTAGCAACTGGGCGAGTTTTTCTCAAAATATTTTACGTTATTGGAAGATCGAAGTAAAATTACAATTGATTATATTATGTTTGACAAGAACTCGGTTCCTGAGTCCCAGGCCCCCGAGTACGACGGAAATTTAGGCAAATCGTTATGTTTTGGTGTAAATATTTCCGAAACTATTTAACTATATCAAAAAGGGTTGTAGAACTTATAAACTAATTTTTCAAGCTCTATTTAAATCCGTAAAAATCTCACAAGTGATATAGGCATTTTAAATAAGGTCATATTTGTCTGAGAGATCTATTCTAAAATTCTAATACATTCTAATAGAGGGTCCTCAACTAGGTTATGTCTTCCCAAGCCCAGGACGGATTACTTGAAAAAATTTTAGCTACAACGGTGCCTATGTCTGGAACCAAATTCCGGAGGACATAAGAACGTTGTCATCTTACAATTCATTTTGTGAAAAGCTTTCTTCCTCGACCTTTCCATTTATATTAGTCCTCTTGTGTAAATTAATTTTTAAAAGTACACTTTTTCTCTATTGATCTCAGATAATAGTTTACATAATTATTTTCTCCAATGTAAAACTAAAAATAAAACTTTTATAGCTATTATTTTATTTCTTGCAGGATTTTGAATCTTTGCAAGCCGAAATGAAAGAGAAAAGAGGACATTACCCGTCGAGTACAGTTAACAATTCAGAGAAATCGAAGGAAAATGACAGTGAGTATTTATATTGCGAGGAAAAGCACAATGTTTTTTTTTGTTTCTAAAATAAGGCGTACAGTACAATAGTCAAATTTAACCCGCAGCACACGAGAGCTATTTAGCTGAGATAAGACCACGCGTGGTTGTTAGCTCAGCAAGTTACTCTCGTGTGCGGAGAGTTTTTCGTGAGGAATTCGCGAGGAATTCTTGAGGAATCTTTTTTTTGAGTTATATTATTAAAGAAATATAATAATTTTTCCCGTGTAGAAAGACATGTGGGAGTTGTGGAGAGCTCGAAATAACGAGGAAAAACCAGTGAACTCAAATAAGAGTGGAACGCCTACTCTCTGACTTTCCCTCATTAATGAGTGAAGCCAAGATGGCAGATCATGAAGCCTCTCTTGTAGGTATCAACCAGGCCTCTAAGCGGAAATTTCAAAGGTTAAAAATTAAGTCGCCATCTTACCTAAAAAATTTCCGCGTAGAGGCCCGGGTCATACCTGCGAGAAAGGCTTCAGTGTCTGCCATCTTGGCTTCAAACTTCCGAAAGAGTGAGCGTTCCAGTCCTATTTGAGTTCACTGGGAAAAACTAGTCGTACGGGCTCGTTTTCCCACTGATTATTTCTCGTTCTCCCAAACTCCTATTTCATAGATATATATGAACTAAGATGAATCAAAGATTTAAATATGAACTAAAAAGGTAGTGCTTAAAAGAACTTTTCGAAGATCAGCAATATATGACATTTTTAATACTTTTTAATTAGTGTCTATATAGCTAGTATATTTCTATAGTATATTTTATAATAAGATTTTTATAGCTTAGATAATATCTTATAGGTTAGTTAATTAATATTACATAGTAACACTAGATAACATTTTAATATATAACATTATATGGCATATTACAAAACATCTTAAAGTTAAACAATATAAATTTTTATAATTAAGCTGCACGAAAAACCCCTTGAGAGAGAAAAAATAGGTTCGATTCCTGCCGGAGGACCTATAGTTGACTCATTTTTCCATCGACTGTTCCTGGCTTGAATTTGAAGTGTGTATAATTCCACTCGAAATTAAAACCCTAAAACCTCTCTCTATATAGTATACTTATATAATAACATCTTTCGCCTTGAAAACCAAGTCCCACATGCTTACTCCTTATTTTAACACAAAGATTAAAGGAAAAACATCAGAGAGAAAGGGAGAGAGAAAGTAAACTCACGATCGCTGATCAGAAATCCATTTTTTCTTTTTAGAATTACAGTCAGAAGAACTAACTTACGTTAGACTGTTGAATAACTGGGAAATTCCCCCCAACCGCTTAAAGGTTCTGGATGAAATACTTGGAATTGGAAAGTTTGGGATTGTGAAAAAAGGGTTATATACAGCTTCCCTAGGTGAAGAACCAGTACAGGTTGCTGTGAAAATGTTAAAAAGTAAATAATTCATACAATGTTTTATTTTTATCCCATACTGATATACGGTATAAAACCTTCATTCGTACGCCTAATGCGAACGGGTTAAGGTAAGGTCTTAAGGAAGCTCGGAAAGGATACGTATATACAATAATACAGTCGTGATACCAAGCTATATTAGTGGGAGAAAACATTTGTTTAACTTGTATTTTAGACGACGTAATGTGTGAGCAAACCGGATGATTCCTTAATACTGACTGTATAAGAGAATAGTCTGAAATCACGTTTCGCTTTGCGATCCCAATTTCGTAGGTTCATTAAATCACAGAAAGGATAGTCTGCAAAATGTTTCGTTCTCATTTTACAGGATAACGTTTTTTGAGTTAAAATGTAATAATTATTAAATTATAGTTGTTGAATATACCTTTATTTAATATTTACGGCACATTCCAATTTTAGGTGAACGATATGTTAAGATATATTGTATATAGATATCTAAGATATATTTTATATAAATAGGTGATATTTCACTGATTTTACCTTGATTTTACAACTATTGTTATTCCCTCTTGAAATTTTCAACGCTTTTGTTTAGATAATCCGACGGAATCTGAAGTGTCAGATTTCGTAGATGAGTTGGAGATGTTGAAAAAAACTAACAAAGAACCACACCCAAATGTCATACGATTTATTGGAGCTTGTATTTCAGAAGGTAAGTCCCTATTTATCAATCAAAAACAGTTGATGGCGAAAATACGGGGGCCTGCAAATCGAAAATTTTTAACGCTCCTCAAGACAATTGCACGATAGTCATAAATCTCTAAGGGTTGCTTGACCTTATGCCTGGTGCACACTTGTTCCTAGCCACTGGGCATCTCTCACTAGTTAGCAGGAACAAATAGAATCTCACATCCCTTGGACGAGGAAGAACTAGATTTAAGCCTTATTATGCTTTTAAAAAAGCTAGGCCTTTTAAGTATGTAAATATTTAATATTATATAATATTAATACTGACCTTATTGCAGCGATAGTCTTTCGGATCGAGTCTCCAATCTCCGAACCGTGTATAGATATTAGTATTCATTTCGGATATGGGGAAAAGCTGATTTGACAAAATATAAATCAATAAAGGACTAAAGGTTCTAAACTAACCAATCACATGCATTAAAGCACAACATAGTCCTGCATGCCACTACTGCACAAAGTCAAGGCGCTAAAATGAGCCCGCACAGTGGCGTTGCCAGCCTGACGATTTTGTCCCGCTATGTAAATTTTGCGTTTTTTTAAATATTCATGTCTTCAGATATGAGTAATATATATATATATATATATATATATATATATATATATATATATATATATATATATATATATATATATATATATATATATATATATATATGAAAGATATACAAATCGTCAGGCTGGCCACGCTACGGAGCTCGCAACGATCTGAATAGCCCGAAGTGTCAAAATAGTGTTTGGCAACTTCTTCGGCGACTTCAATTCTGCAAAACCGGGGTAAAATGTACGATGTTCGCTGAGTTTGATGTTCGATGTTCGTTTGCCAGGTTTAATACATACAGCTTAAACCGCCATGGCGCACGAACAGTAGCGTAGCCTGCCTAAACAATTTGTCTCGCTATGCTAATACCTTGGTGTTCATTGACTGTGAAAACAGTAAATTTCTAAAGACATCGTCATTCTGGCTACGCCACTGCGCGCAATATACTTAAACTCTTCTTGGCTTTATTAATATTTTGCTCCAAGTAACTTATCTCGCGTTTTGATTCTTTCCGTTCTTGTACCGATATTATATGGAGTATAAAGCACGTACCGTTTGGAAAGAACCAACATGAATTCTCTCAACGTCTCAACGTTTCGACCTGAAGGTCTTCGTCAGGAGAGTTAGTATCATACGTCAAGGATGAGTTAGTATCATATCAAGGCCCTCCGTTGGCAAAACGTTGAGAAATGTTTTGTATATTTTCGGCAGTTGTTATACCACATTTGATGCTAAGTTGTTTGAAGACGCTTCCACGCTGCTCCCAGGTGATATTGGAACGTACCAAAAATTTATAGACAAATCTTTCCAGTTGCAATACAGATATCATTTACGGCATGCCTGAAGATACTTCCTTGATTTCAGAGAAACTAATGGTGGTGACAGAGTATTGCTTTTGTGGTAATCTACAAAGTTTTTTGAGGAAAAGAAGAGTTATTGACAACTCTTCAACATTTGACTCGAAGTATGTCAAAACAACTTCGACTTTAGACAGTCGTCAACTGCTGAAAATTGGCGTGGATGTGGCAAGTGGAATGGTGCATCTTTCTGAACTGAAGGTATATACCAATCTTGGTGTTTACATGCATACAGCTTGGCAATAAATGTAAACTGAAAAAGTCATTAATAGTACGCCTTTTCAAAATTTCACTCAAATTAAGTCACACAAAATTTCTAAAATAAGATACATAGCGCCACAACGAAAACGATATGAGAATATCTAATTTTTTATAATAGCAATGGTGTCAAAATTTTTTATAAATGCAAGTGTCACTGCAGAAAAAAATACAGCTTAGTGAAATGGTGGTCATTGCACAGCATTTTCTTTCTCCGTTCACTGTATTATATAGGAAACGGCATTTATTAACTGGCTGTTAACAGTTTATCTCAGCTCAAAGGAATAATTTTTCAAAATCCATATTATATGCGGAGATAATGCATGGATGGTGATTGAAAATAGTATGGAAGTTTATAATATCCATACTGTAATTGCTATTTCCATACTATGGATATAGCAATAGTATAGGAACAGAATATGTGTAACATAGTCCCTTAGTATATGGAATTTGAAACAAAAAAATGAAGGAAGGTTCCAATGCCTTATTAAACATTTCATATTTTCAGCTGGTTCATCGTGACTTGGCTGCACGAAATATTCTTATCAGCTGTAACAATAATGTCGCAAAAATTACGGACTTTGGGTTGACAAGGGATATTGCAAATACTGAAGAATATATGCGAACGAACCAGGTATTTTACATAAATTATATTATTGTGACCGAAAGTAAATGCTGAATCGAGTAATTACACCCACGTGTATTCAAATGCTTCGCAAGACTATATTTTAATTAATACATAAAACTAGGCAAAAAAATGATCGTGGTAGTAAATGAATGGCTTGAAAAATAAGATCATAGTCAGAGTTTCAAAAAAACTGTTTAATTAGTTCGAACGTGAGGTTGAAAAATATTAACTTGAAAAATGAAAACTTGCGACTTATTCTTCCTGCATAATCACTAACCATTCATGTTTATTTGTATTTCCCCTCCGTTTTATTTCTGGCACTGGCCGCGGGTTTTTTAAACTTTTTACCGTAGGCAATCAGGTCTTACAGTTCGTATATAACCTTAATTTCTCGTGTATTCTATTAGGACCTACTTCCAGTAAAATGGATGGCATTGGAAAGTCTACTTTACGGTCGATTTACGACTGCTAGTGACGTGTATGTTTATAGCCTACTGTTTATTTTATACACAAATGGCATGTATTCTCAATCACAAATTAATCATGCAGTATCACATAAGTGCAATAAGAATACTATTGAAATATTTTATTTGCATTTAAAATTAATCAGGTGGAGTTTTGGTGTCCTCCTTTATGAAATCGTAACTCTAGGTAAGTAATGAAATTTTTAAATTAGTAGAACATTAGTTGGAATTCTTACTAGGCGTTCATGCACGAACTTTGCAATGTCTCTACGAACTTGAAATTTCCTAAGTGATTAGATTGTAACTCATCCCCATTTCCAGTCCTGCATGATTCAAGTGAACTTTGCTTCATCCACTTTTCACCCTTCTTGTGGTAGATTCCACTGTATAAAACGTCATGTTTAAATAAATGAAGTGATTGAATTTTCAGGAGAAATACCATACAAACATTTATCACCGTTTGTGATTGTCAGCTACATTAGTTCAGGAGGTCGATTACAAAAACCGCCAAACTGTTCCAACGAAATGTAAGTAAAGCAAACTTAAAGTGGAAGTCAAGTTCGTATGTGAGCAAACGGTTTATTTACATTTTGAACCTCGCTTTTTTTAAAGGCGCCAAATCTTGCCACCTTTTTGTCTACGTTTCTCTATTGGAAAGATATGAGCAAATATGTGCCTAACAGAGAGCCAATCAGTTAGCTCATATGTTGCTCATAATTATGTTGATCGCCAATATGTTGCTAAAAAGGAGGTCATTGTCTGTAAACCGCCGAAGATCTCTGCCAGGAAGAATCTTTCAAGCGTTTTTAAATCTCTTTTCTACGTAGATATAAGATAATGATGAATTGTTGGGATGTTGATGAAAAGAAGCGACCAAGTTTTTTCCAATTAAGAAAAGATCTCCATGATATGTTAATATATGATCAGGTAGGCCTTAAGGTTTAAATCAGTGAAATCACAAATGTCGTCTTTTGCGGTTAGAAAGGTATTAAGTTCATGATGCCGCAAGAATTAGTATAGTGTTTTATCCGGAGCACACAAAAGGGCAATTTGTTTATTCTATTATTTTGTTGTTCTATTGTTTTGTTTCTATTATTTATGAATTATTATATGCAAAAAATTTTTCGTCGCTTTTCTTAGCAAACTAAAATTCTCATTCCCTTTACTTTCGGGTGCGATAATTAAAAAAGTAATAAGTCTAACATAATAAGATTTTAATGCTTGACTTTAAAGACATTCGGCTCGGACCCAAACCTAAAAGTGTTGTATTCCGTTCAGTCTAAGATAAAAGCGACTGTTTATTTTAGATCAGTAGATCGTAGAAGTTTTATATTCTTAGCCCTGCAAAACTTTTTAATGCTGGAAAAGTTTTATTCTAGGTTCAGGCCGTTCAGCTCCAAGGCAAAAATAAATAGAAATAAGTAAACCAATCCCGTCGTTCTAGAGTTAAAACCAACAATAGTTTGTTTAACGCGTTTAAAAAAACGTCCATTTTCCAGTATTGGGAATTCCCGACCGATTTGTGGACCGAATCCTACAGTTGTTTTTTTTTCACTATGGCAACTTGGCTTGCAATATGGCATGAAAACATTTTTATATTTTTGTATTTATGTGCAGCACAGAGATTGTAGCAAAGAGGAAGAACAACCCAGAATGTCTTAAAGTCGGCAGAAATTGATCTAAGCCCTGTTCGTTTATTACTATACTTCGACGCATAAAAACTAGTAATATCATAATATCTTTTTGTACTGAGAAGCATTTAGAAATAAGATCGATGTAGATATTCCTCACAATCATTCATGTCTTTTCATTACCAGAACTGTTGTATAGAAACGATATAATGTATTATTGTTCGAAAAATATAGTTCCTATGCACAGTTTGCAAATCGAGATGAAGAATTTTTAAACAAACAAGACTTATATATAACTATGATTATATCACTGTTATAGTGAATTTTCTACAATAATTTCAAAATTATTTTTAGAAATCTTACATCAATGTACAACAAGTGAAGGAGGAAGAATTACGAACAACGACCACCCCTTGTCACGTGACTGTTGAAGATGAAGCAGCTATAAAGCTCTAGGAAATGTCTTCGCTTTAATAATTCCGCTCAAAATTCATTATTTTGTCACAATGTTTTCCGCGTACCAGCAAAGGCTGCGATCGCACGCTAACATTAATGATGTATCCTGCGTGACACCAGTTCGACCATTATAGTCATTAATTTTTGCAATATATACCTAAAAAATTATTACAGGGGAAAATTAGTAATTCTAAGACCCTTTAAACCTCCAGAGTTTACCTGCATTGAGTGAAGTGTCAAATAACATAAAAAATTATTACTAAATAATTATGGAAGACTAAACAACGTCATAGTCTAGTTTTGTTTCACAACATCATAATCCAGTTTAGTGTCATGTAGCGGGTTCAGATTAAAACATATTCGTTTATTAAGAGCAGCGGTAAAACGCCGAAACTGGCACAGGCAGCATGCTCATTTCACAGGTCCATAAGCCATTTGGATTTATCTCGACTGTCTACTTGTGGGGTGACGGACTGATTTGCATAAGGGAAACCAATCAGTCCATTTCTTGCATTACTACAGGTCAGTTTGAATTTACCGAACTCGCAGGATATTTTTCCGAGATGGCCGGATTCAAGAGGAGGTTGGACAGCTGTCACGCGAGTTTCCTTTGAATAAAGGATGATGAAGACTCGAAAGCGGATATGCGTTGACCGAGAATCAAACCCAGACCTACCACTTAGAAGGCAGAAATGCTAACCATTACACCATCAACGCAAGTTATAGTAATATTCGACACGTCATTGTACATTTGTTACAAATTAATGGTAGAAATTGGATGGAGAGATCGAAAAAAATGGTTGATAGAAAAAAATTGTACGCTAGTTTAAATGGAGAAATTCACGGCGAACAGTCTCATATGCATCGTTATATTCCTGGATGAAAAAGCGTTTCGGAACCACTGTAAGTCGGTTCTGTGGTGTAATGGTTAGCACTTTGGACTCTGAATCCAATTGCAAGGACCCGGGTTCAATTCTCGGCAGGAGGTACGATCGCATTAAAGCTAATCACAATTCAAGAAAAAAATTGCAAGCATTTCACGTCTCGTGGAAACGAGGAACTTTTTAATAAGATGAGTAGTTGAAGATTTTTTGCAGTGAAGATAATTAAACATTTTTTTTGTTACCGTTATAATCCTGGATGGAAAAAAATGCGTTTCGAAACTAATCTGAAGTTAGTTCTGTGGTGTAATGATTAGCACTATGGACTATGAATCCAAGGAACCGAGTTCAAATCTCGGCATGACCTACGACCGTATTTACCGCAAATCACGCTTTCAAGCAAAAAATTATTACCTCCATTGCACGTCTCTTGGAAACGAGGCCCTTTTTAGGATCATTAGTCGAAGATTTATGGCAGTGAAGATAATTCAAACGTTTTTTGCTAGTGTTCTATGTCTCGTAAATTGACTCGAAATATATTGTTCCTGATTTTTTTTGGACATATCAAACAAATGGAATAAAATAGAATCGATTTTGTTAACAAAGGCAAAAGTTAATTTCTATGGTCGGCGTAAAAACATGCAATATTTTTATTCAAATAGAGGATCATGAAGACTCGAAAGCGGATATGCGTTGACCGGGAATGGAACCAAGATCTACTGCCTGGAAGGCAGCAATGCTAACCATTACACCATCAACACAAGATATGGTAATGTTCGACACATCATTGTACTATTTGTTAAAAATCGAACGTAGCAAATAGATGGAGAGAATGAAGATAATCGGGGATAGAAAAAATTTGCACGCTAGTTGGAATGGAGAAATTCATGGTGAACAGTCTTATAAGCATCATTATAATCCTTGAAGAAAAATGCGTTTCGAAACCAATCTCAAGTTGGTTCTGAGGTGTAATGGTCAGCACTTTCGACTTTGAATCAAAGGACCCAAGTTCAAACCTCGGCAAGACCTACGACCGCATTAAAGTAAATCACGCTTTCACGCAAAAAATGGAAATGAGAAACTTTTTAAGATGATTACTTGAAGATTTACGGTAGTGAAGATAATTCAAACGTTTTTTGCTATTGTTCTGTGTCTTATAAATTCACTGGAAATATGTTGTTCCTGATATAAAAATTTTGTATCCTAGTTTGAATGGAGAAATTCACGGTGAACCGGCAGTCTTATAAGCATCGTTATAATCCTAAAAGAAAAATGCGTTTCGAAACCAATCTCAAGTTGGTTCTGTGGTGTAATGGTTAGCACTTTGGACTCTGAATCCAACGATCCGAGTTCAAATCTCGGCAGGACCAACTGTAACTGTACTGAATCACTCTTCAAGGAAAAAATTGCAAGCATTGCACGTCTCTTGAATCGAGGAACTTTTTAAGATGATTAGTCGAAGATTTCGGGCAGTGAAGATAATTCGTACGTTTTTTTATAGTGTTCTAAGTCCCGTAAATTCACTCAAAATATGTTGTTTCTGATTTTTATGGAAGTATAAAACGAATGGAATAAAACAGCAACTGTTTTGTTAACAAAGGCAAAAGTTAATTTCTATTGTCGGTGAAAAACATGCAATATTTGCATTAAAATAGGGGACAATGAAGGCTCGGAAGCGGATATGCGTTGACCGGGAATCGAACCCAGATCTACTGCTTGGAAGGCAACAATGCTAAGCATTACACCATCAACGCAAGATAGGGTAATGTGCGACACATCATGGTACTTTTTGTTAGAAATCAAAGGTAGCAAATAGATGGAGAGAATGAAAAAAATTGGGGATAGAAAAAATTGCTCTCTAGTTAGAAAAGAGAAATTCATGGTGACCAGTCTTATATGCATCGTTATAATCCTTGATGAAAAAAATGCGTTTCGAGACCAATCTCAGGTTGGTTCTGTGGTGTAATGGTTAGAACTTTGGACTTTAAATCCAAGGTTCCGAGTTCAAATCTCGGCAGGACCTACGACCATCTTAAACGCAAATCACGCTTTCAAGCAAAAAATTATTGGCTTCATTGCAAGTCTCTTGAAAACGAGGCCCTTTTTAGGAAAATTAGTCGAAGATTTATGGCAGTAAAGATAATGCAAACGTTTTTTGCTAGTGTTCTGTGTCCCGTAAATTCACCCGAAATATGTTGTTCCTGATTTTCTTGGAAATATCAAACCAATGGAATAAAAAAGAATCGGTTTTGTTAACCTAGACAAAAGTTAATTTCTATTGTCGGCGTAAAAACATGGAATATTTTCATTCAAATAGAGGATGATGAAGACTCGAAAGCGGCTATGCGTTGATCGGAAATCGAACCCAGATCTACAGCTTGGAAGGCAGCAATGCTAACCATGTCACCATCAACACAAGATATGGTATTGTTCGACACATCATTTTACTTTTTGTTAAAAATCGAACGTAGCAAATAGATGGAGAGAATGAAGAAAATCGGGCATAGAAAAAATTTGCACGCTAGTTGGAATGGAGAAATTAATGGTGAACAGTCTTATATGCATCGTTATAATCCTGGAAGTAAAATGCGTTTCGAAATCAATCTCAAGTTGGTTCTGTGGTGTAATGGTTAGCACTTTCGACTGTGAATCCAAGGATCCGAGTTCAAACCTCCGCAAGACCTACGACCGCATTAAGGCAAATCACGCTTTAACGCGAAAAAATCGTAGGTATTTCACGTCTCGTGGAAATGAGAAACTTTTTAAGATGATCACTTGAAGATTTAAGGTAGTGAAGATAATTCAAACGTTTTTTGCTATTGTTCTGTGTCTTATAAATTCACTCGAAATATGTTGTTCCTGATTTAAAAATTTGTATCCTAGTTTGTATGGAGAAATTCACGGTGAACAGTCTTATAAGCATCGTTATAATGCTAAAAGAAAAATGCGTTTCGAAACCAATCTCAAGTTGGTTCTGTGGTGTAATGGTTAGCACTTTGGACTCTGAATCCAACGATCCGAGTTCAAATCTCGGCAGGACCAACTGTAACTATAATCACTCTTCACGGAAAAAATTCAAGGCATTGCACGTCTCGTTGAATCGAGGAACTTTTTAAGATGATTAGTCGAAGATTTAAGGCAGTCAAGATAATTCCTACGTTTTTTTGTAGTGTTCTGAGTCCCGTAAATTCACTCAAATTATGTTGTTTCTGATTTTTTTGGAAGTATAAAACCAATGGAATGAAACAGCAACTGTTTTGTTAACACAGGCAAAAGTTAATTTCTATTGTCGACGAAAAACATGCAATATTTTCATTCAAATAGGGGATGGTGAAGACCCGAAAGCGGATATGCGTTGACCGGGAATCGAGCCCAGTTCTACTACTTGTTTTAAAGGAAAATTTCCATTTGACATATTATTCTATTTTTCCTTTGAGGCAGGGGTGGATCCAGCACTAGTGCACTAATTTGCATGACAAAAGAAAACTGCTAAAAATAACCACTTTGTTTTGTAATGCCAATTTGTGCACTAGTGCTGGATCCACCTCTGCTTTGCAGCTTTGCTATAGTAGATAGTTTAGCACTGGTGATATTTCATTTCCTTGATGACTTGGCTGTAGCGTTAAGACCATCTTATCAAAGAAAATATTAAAGTGCCTATATCACTTGTGGGATCTTTACGGATTTAAATAGAGCTTGAAAAATTAGTTTATAAGTTCTACAACCCTTTTTGATACAGTTAAATAGTTACGGAAATATGTACACCTAAAAATAACGATTTGCCTAAATTTTCGTCGTGCTCGGGGGCCTTGGACTCAGGAACCGAGTTCTTGTCAAACATAATATAATCAATTGTAATTTTACTTCGATCTTCCAATAAAACATTTTGAGAAAAACTCGCCCAGTTGCTAAAGCCATACACAACGCACCGTTCCCGCATTTTTTTCTTGAAAAGCGCAAACTATATCGCTAGTAAAACTCTTCATGTTTACATTATAAAAGACGGCGTCTTTGTAAATCATTCCTGAGTCCCAGTCCCCCCAACCGACGTATTTCTAAAACTGTTTAAATATATCAAAAAATGTTGTAGAACATATAAACAAATTTTTCAAGCCCTAT